TCACATTTAGGATATGTATTCCTGATAGGACTCGAAGAAGATGTGCTAAGTACAAATCCAAAAAGAGCCACACAACTTGGAACCTGCAATTCTATCATACCGACGGATGGCTTTCTGTGGCGTGAGGTCAAGAGCGACGGTGGCAATGTTCTCGTGTCACAAACTCTTTTTCTCTTTCTCAGGCTGCACTGCTGCATCTGCTCATCCACTATTGAATTGGTGGCGTAAATATAGACTCAGACACGGAAGAAATGAATGCGGTTGATTCATTTTGTGTTTCTGGATAAGCCTGGCTCATGCCCCTGTGGAACATTCAGATTAGTGAGACATCTTACTCCCACTCTTGTATTACTGGAGATAGATGATTGCTACAGTATGTCGGTGTGCTGTTGAAATCTACGGTTATGCTGAGGGCGTCTTAGATGTTTTAGGTAATGTCTTCTCTGAATTTCCATTTCTTTCCTTTTCAGCCTGCAGGCTGCACCGCTTACTTAGTCAAATGCCTTTTATTACAGATGCTTATGGTGTGTTGTTAGGTCTCTCTTCCATCCCGCTGCAGTGAAGAAGGTAAAAATCATACATAGCCTCAGAAATATGTCCAGGCTTCATCAGGGAAATCAAGTTTCTGAGATACTGAAGAGCCGCATAAGGGACTGAACCCTCTGTTAGTAGTAGACACCACGCATCACATCACGTAGGATCACTTCAACATTAGGAGAGGCTACCGGTATCACAAATTATTGCACATCATGAGAGACATTTGGAATGCACACTGTCTACAGCCACTATGGTTTAATGTTGATGGCGACCACCTCTTGGCAGAAGAGCCAAAAACTGCAGTTCTTCGAATGGCCACTTGAGTCTGGCTCCAAGAGAGACCCGATCCACATAGACCTCCATGTTTAAATGCCTGATTGTTATTTCCAGAGATACATGTGACGAGGCAGACACTGTCCCTTTAAGAGAAGCTTACACATTAGCTATTTGAAGATTTGGGGAGGATCCAAACTAAATAATCTTATTTTGCAGCAAAATGTTTTTGTAATTTGAATTTGGTTTGTCCAATAGGGTGAAAGATTTCAGGAAGATTATGATTCATAAATAGAAACGATCTTAAAACGCCAGATTCCCATGATGTGACATGGCGAGCGTGGGTGGCCATCCCCACCACTGCAAACACAAACGCAACCAAATGCGGAAATAGGGTGCATGTAAACATACCGGAGATTGTCACAGACATCAACAAACATACAGTAGCATCATCTGACATCCGGGCTTTAACGCTTGTCTAGAAGAAGCGTGAGGACAGACGTTGAATCCCTTTGTGGTGCCTATCAAAGGGCAACATTTCTTCATGTGAACACTCTCCCAAATGATATTATGAACGTGCTTAAACGGTCTCTCACTAAATGCAAAGTTACCTGCTGCTTGGATGTGAAGCCAAGAACAATCATCGTTGTGAATCAGTACAAACGGCATATTTCATTTGATACAGCAGCCTATAACAACCAGTCAAGTCAGAATATCAGTTTCGCTTGCGGGTTCATAGCTTATACAAGTATTTGCTCTTCATTGCATCATAGCGTGCACAAGATTGATTTGCAGAACCTCTTCTTGCAGACCATTGATATTGCATCAAGACTTCACAGAGGGAAAGCTGTGCCCACACGGGGGCTCTGGGGGTCTGTTGCTCCTTTCCCTACAACCGTATTGACCTATGACACGTAGCCTCCACGTACACACACCCTGACTCCCGAATACTCTACACTCTCATTCTTTCATCTGCAGTTCATCTTGCAAAGTGCTAATTGAAGGAGCAACAGCAGACTAAACACACTGAGGGATCTTTCAGACGACCCCGTAATAGCTCATAAAAGGCACTTTGTGTGACTTCTATTTCTCACAGTGTACTATAAAGCCTCTGTGGCTTTTGACAACTCCCCGTCCTCCACCCCGTCTTCCACTCCGCTTTTGTCTTTTCCATAAATCAATATCTGTCTGGGGGTGTGGGGCTGCTGATTGTTTTTGCAGAGCGTTACTGTGTAATTTGGGTAAATGGTACTTGCACCCAGTTTACTCTGAGATGGTAAACAGTCTGGCTGGTAAAAAGGGAGTGTGCTGATAGCCTCCAAGCGTACAATCAGCTGTAATTGGTGTTGTGGACTGTGGACATGCTTGATTACGTACCTGGGAGATAGACATGATGGCAGGCTCCTGATAATATGTACTATTTTGGTGAAATTATACAATAGAGATCACATTCACTCCATCAGGTTTCCCCTTGACACGTCTGAATCCATTCACGTTTCATAGAGATTATTAGCATGAAGCGGGACTTTGCATAGGCTACATTCCCATGGACATTTTAAAGAGCCCATTAAACTTTTTACAATGTGTGAGGACTGGTTCTATTGCCAGAGACGGTGGTTTAAAGTTGTTAGAATTAAAGACTGAAAGGATCTTTCTCTTCAGCTGCTAAAGCACTTGAACTTGCCATATGGTGACGGAAATTCAATCAAAAAGCAAATTTGAAAAAGTTAGATGTAGATTGTTGTAATCTATCTGCAATCAGAACAGTTTTGTAGTGCTGTATTTGCAAGCGAGGCCTTTTTATTAGCCTGTAATGATGGACATTATGGACATTGTGCAAGTAACTGCCCTAAACACCTTTTTGTCTTTATACATCTTTGTTTAATCCTCAATCCCTTTGGTTTGGTTACCATTCTACCAAACGAGTATCAAGACAACAGCAAGCCTCATGCTTGTGCTGCATCGTACCCAGTTTTCAGGGAATGTTATAAATGGGGACGCTTGGTCTTTAACTGCCAAGTAGCAGATTACACAGAGGGGGTCCTGTTTCAAGCTTTCAAACATTCCTGTATGAAATGTATCGTGCTCAAGCACACGGCTCCTAGAAGACATTGTTCCCTGAAGTCTCATTTGTATGAAATGTAAAGTCTAATAAAGTCGACATCCTTTGAACTGCACACACAAGTAGAGATAATGCACACAAACTCACCCAAACCTAATGCACACACATGCACACACTCAACTGCATCTGTGACCAGCTTTATCAAATCTTTCCTCACTGCTTTCTATCCCAGTACTTTTCCACTAATGCCTGACTCATAATTCCACTGTGCCTGAACCCAGATACCCCCCAACCCCTCCGCTCTCTACTCCAAATATAATATAAGTTTACAGTGAGTGAGCCATGCATACATCACACACACACACTAGAGTTGGCCTGCTTCATGTGCTTTGAAGCAGGCCATGTTGCATTGCATTCTGCACAGATGGCTTTCTCATGTCTTAAACTACATTTCAAGTGAGTCAGTATTTTATCACTGAGTATCTGTTTCAAAACTATTGCATTAAAAGGAAAATATATGAGTGAATGGATACGGCTGATGATATTCTATATTTTAACTGTCAACCAACGTGTAGTCAAACGATGTAGCTTTTTTTGTCAGATCCATCGACCACCATCGTGTCAAAAACGATGTAAAACCCATCAGTGAGCTACATGCACCACCCTGGTGTCAAAGATACTCAAAACAAGGCCCGGCCCTTTTAGGAAATTAAAAGGGGGAAGAAAGGAAATTAAAATAAAGGAATTTACAATTAAGTTCATTGAAAATATATATTTGTGGACCTGTCTTTTATTTATGTGTTCAGTCGGAATGAATGGTAGCGTGATAGATGATACACTGTTTGACTTTTCCCAGATTCCTTGTGTCACATATCAGGTCACAAGCTGGTACTGATGGGTTCATGCGTTGGCCCTGGCCAGGTTAATAGACTAACGGCTCATGAATGCCACATAGCATTGAGCGCCTTCAAACCACGGACACCAGATACGACCATGTGTCGACCGGCCTCGGGAGCTCGCTTTCTCACCTCATTGCAAACACTTTAAATCCTTTGTTTAGGCAGGACTGTGAGCCGCAGTAATAGCTAAATCACTATCTGTCACTGGGCACCCTGCAGTTAGTGGCACACTTGCGTTTACTTTGGTAAAGGATCACGTTTTCCATTTCTACACCCAGTGACCTATATAAAACAGGGAATTTTGGGCCTCTTGCTGAGTTCAGCTTTGACTGTAAAAACATGCACTCTGGAGTTAAAACTTCATTTTTTCAAATACCTACAACCAAATCCTAAAAACAACCTGCCTTTCACTTTCAAAAAACCCGGCTTGCTTTATTCTCTATTTGCCTTTAGAAATAAACCAGGCTTAAAACATTTCCCTCTCTGTCTGCCTTTTTAATAAAGCCATTCTTGAGACAACCTGCCAGTTTAGCAGGTATGCAGGTTTTCCTGCATGCCTGGCTGCGATCAATGTCACCTTTCTAAAGGTCTGAACACAGGGCAGACCGGGGGAAACGATGGCCACAAAGGGCTCTTTCAGCAGGAGAGAGCCTTTCCCCCATGCTGACCTAAATCTCCTCCTCCTCCTCTCTGCCTCGTAGCAGCTACTCAGACATTCAGCCTTCATCCAGCCTTCACGGGGAGCACAAACAATGCAGGGTAGACACATGGTCCTAAAGGGCGGGGGAGAGGGGGGGCATGTCTCCAGAGGCTCTGGGTGCTAAAAACTAATGGGATTTGATAGGAAGGTGAGACCTTAGATGATGTTTCACGAGTGAAGTACTGATCTTAGGTTAAGATTGTATTCACTTTCTGGGTGGTAACAGAGTTAGAGGCTTGTATCTGCTCACAGTTCATCTGTTTCCAGTATTCAACAGTTGATCAGGTTTCATGAGGTTGTCCCCGTTGCTAAATCCTGCTGGCTGATTTGAAATGGTAGCAGATATAAATAAAAGAGCACCGATGCTCCACCTTCTATACTTTCCCTCTCTGTTCTGTCATCGGTCTCACAAGCCCCAGCTGTCCACCTTCATAAGGGCACATGGTTACAGTGAGTCCCTAAAGTAAACTAAACTTCATTTGCACCGATGTACATCATCGCACCACGCCCCAAACACTCCAGTGCTGCTCCCTGCAGTCAGACCCGGCCTGATTGTTTCTACATGTGACGTGTTCCGCAGAGAACAACCCGACAGATGAACTGATACACAATGAAAGGCTGTCTGTGGCGGAGAGAGTGATCTTTTCCAGACTCTGCCTTCCTTCTGCCAGAAGTATCAACAAAAGAAGACGCTGAGTTGTTGAGTCACTGTAAGCAGTGTGTAGATAAAACTATTGTTTGCTTTCAATGCAAAATCAATAATTATCAGAATGGTAAATGAGAAAAGATTTTTTTTTTTTATAAAGACTTTTTCTTTTTTATTACATTTTGACAATAAGTTAAACAACTTGCTGAGTTTCGAAATCCATTCATACACATCTCTCAGAAAAATATCGCAGACATGTCTTCAGGAAAGCAAATGAATGTTACCAGTTTCCAATAAAAGAGGACGAGAAATATTTCAAGTAAAAGAGAACATTGAACTTCATTCAAACATAATTCATATTGAATTCTGCTGTCTTGCTTTTCTGGTGTGCAAAATTCCAAAATTCGATTTATTCATCTCGGGACACGTATCAAACTTTAAATCACAAATATAATCCAAACTGTTTCATGGAAGAGAAACAGTTGCACTCAAACAAATATTTACTTCAATCTCAAATGCAGAATTGTGGAGTGTTGATAAGTGACTGGTTTTTTATAGTATAAATGTCTTCAGTGACATTTTACCTGAAACACAAATGTCTGTGCATGCTAGCATGGTACAGCTAAACACTAGCAAAGTTATGACACTGTAAATTACTAATGTGAAAATCCGGGTAAGCTACAGCACCAATTATTCCACACCGGTTGTTGGTTCAGAATTAAAAGAATAATCTGAAATGAGTGTGGCACAGTTGTGTACCCTAAAAGTGTGAATTACTTTCCTTTCCCATCTACACTCTGTTTGACAGAGATCCCTTTCATGCAATCATTTATTCCTTTTAAAGCTCTGGTTTTGTAAAAAAAAAAAAAAAAAAAGAATAGCTTCAGCAAAACATCTGGGACACGGAACAAAACAAACATGACGGGGAAAAGAAAGCAAAGCGAAGTGAAAAGACTCATTCACAGAATAATGGGATCAGCTCAGGGATCGATGAAGGACACTGCGATGTAGCGGGTGCCGTTGGTGGTGGGCAGGCCTTCGTGGAGGTGAGTCAGCCGTCCCGGGTGCATGAAGCTCCAGCCTTTCCGGGGTGAATTTAAGGAGCAGTTGTACCTATGGAAACGGCAACCCCCACCCTGATAGAAAAGGCAAAGATAATGGTCAATATTTTAATTTGAGTGTTAGATTAATGGTCGTCGCAACAAGTCAACAGGGTTATCAAGGATAGTAGGAAGATGCTGTAATCAAATTTGATGGATTGAGGTATTGCACCGTATGCGATGCATCTCCCTCAGGACAAGTCCTTACCTGAAAGTCTGTGTCTTTGTTATTGAGGGCAATGTTGATGGTGAAGGTGGAGGAGTCGTGATGGGGCCTCAGGTACGCTTGCCTCTCAGGTGTGTATTTTACCACAAAGTTCATTATTGAGTAACCCTGTGATGAAGTGCATGAATACATCAAGTTAGCTGACAGTCAGTGTATCATTGATCATATTCAATGGAAAAGCTCTCAGCCACTGTTCATTCACATACTTCACATGTAAAAACAGGTTCCATGGAAAGAGGTAACTTCAATTTTTAGATTTGGGGGCAAATGGAGGTGGTGTTTATCTTTCTTCTATTCCTCCACGAGTTCACACTGACCTTAGTGAAGTAGCCAGAGTAAACCTTTAACGTGATGGGCGATATGAACTCCCGGATGAAGTGCAGCCACTCTTTGTCGTAGCCGATTTGCCTCATATGAATGTCGTCCGTGGGCACGGTCTCGTAGCCGCCGGAGATCCGCTTGTCCTGAGAGAAAGTAGAGGAAAATAAAGCACGATGCGGTGTGAGTGACGACGGAACAAATGACCCACCGTCCTCGAATGTGGTCCGAACGCAGAGTGTAATGACGACGCGTCTGTGTGCTTGTGTGTGTGTGTGCTTGTGTGTGTCTGTTTTTAACACCGCAGGCTGCACTGTTGTCTTCCTGCATGAGGCTTAATGAGCCATCCAGCTCAGCCTTTACCCAGAGCCAGTCAAAGTATCTGTACATATTTAGTCTCCCAGACAAACTTTCTTAGACACATTAATTACCAATTTCAAACTACATAAAACAGGCCACATGAAATAGACACCATTAACATAAAACACAACATCATAACCATTTATTTGGTTATATTCAAACTATGGACCTGGAAAGAATGATAATAAAATTTAGCATGTGTGTACAAGTACCCTGAACACCACTCATGTGTGCATGTCTTCACAAAATTATGACATCAAAATGCAAGAAAGTACCTACTACCCCCTACATCTGGCTAACATTTGCCCCCCCCTCCATGACATGGTGTGAAAGGTATTTTGAAAGTAAGAGCTCAGACATCAAAGACATGGCTGTTACAATTAAGTTTACAAGGCAACATGTGGGATTATTTCCCTTCTCTTGGTGTCTGGGTTGGAATAATTACAACAAACACTTAACCACAAGGAGACATACAAGGCTTCATCCAGTGATAATTATCTAACTCAGGCAATTTCAAAGTAGTGTATGTTTTTAATGCCTGCTGAATAAATTACAGCAAATGGGGTTGAGAAAATGTGCCCTGGTGTTTCCAACTGTGCTGCCTGTGTGAAACCGTGGCAGGAAAATAGTTGAGCAACCTATTGTCACCAACTTTAGAAAGGTGTTATTTAGCACTAAAATAATTCATTTGTTGAGAGATAATAGAATTTAATTTGAAAAAGAAAGCTTCCGTTAATTCAGCAAATGAAAAACATTTGTTACACGTTGACATTATACCTTTTATACCTGTTAAGATGTTAGAGTTGCCCCTGTGAGTGTGTTAGCATAGCCTCACAGAGCTGTTAGCAAAGAAATGCACGTGTGCCTGCAGTGTGTTGACTCCAGCTCTTGTGTTCAGTAAACCTGAGCTAACAGTACTGACCTCATGTTTGCCTCCAGACCATGAACCGAAGTGCTCCATCTCCTCCACTATTTCATCACAGGCCTTCTCTGAGAAGACTGGGAACCAGAACACATCTGGACACGGCTGCAACACACACACACACAGACACAAAGAGACCGCTGAGAACAGAGTCACACCTTCACCTCGAGCTGCAGTGACTGTAATGTAGTACGAGGTATGTTAAAAACAGATGTGGAGGTTTCTGTCCTGCGTGGTCATTCTCTTTCACCGTCTCTGTCTGTATCTCCAACACACACATGCAGATACACACACATGCTTAATACAAACCTCCTCCATGTTGTTCTCAGTGAAGATTTGAGTGTAGTTTTGGTGGATGTATTTCTCCTTCCAGTCCTGTAAGGATAAATCATTTTAGATTAGTTGCCATTTTTTTTCGGATTGTTTGCTGACCTACATACCTCAGAGTTAATCCCCTCTCCCACAGGGCAGGTCCCAGCATGCCAAATACAGTAGTAAATCACAAAGCCTTATCAGTCAGGAGTCTTATCACGCTGAGGTCATTACGACAAAATCGTCCCGCATCTCTAATCCTTCCATTATGGCTAATAACCTTTACAGGTGGCTGCTGTTTATCTCAGCTATTCAGACAAAAAAAAACAATGGCTTTTCTTTGTGTACGTACAATGATGAGAGATCATAATGACTTACCACGGGGTTTTCAAATATCTGCCACAAGTCATTGTTATAATGAGAAACGTTATAATTGGCTGTGGAGATGAGCCTCCCAAAGTCGTGCCGGTTTGTTATGTACATGAAGACTCCCTGCGGCAAACGGGAAAAGTTCAGTCAGTTCCACAAAAAGTTGAAATCTTTTTAATGTCTCACTGGCAGGATTTCTAACAGATCCATGTCTGCAGAGCCATAATATATGCACATCAACACACGGCAGGTCATAATTATTGAGACTGTTTACGACTTCAACACTCATCAATTAGCACTGGCATATAAACTGACAAAGCGTTACCTGTGGCAAACTACTTCAAAGCTTCATTTGCCCCAAAAAAATGAGGAAATAAAGTGCGATTCAAGTGTGTTTTAACACACTTAAATCAATTAGGGTCAACGAAGAACCAAAACAGACACGAATACCATATAAATAATCTAAGATTATTTATGGGTGGTGGGAGGGAGGGGCTGCAAGATGTCGGTGGGTTGGGAACAGGGGAGGGGGGCAGTGAGGTGAGAGGAGTGGTAGAACAGGGATAGAGGGGTGTTGGGCAGCTTGGGATAAAGCAAGTCCAGAAATGACATTTCCTTTACAGTGAAGCGGGGGGGAGGGGGGGGGAGGGGTGCTGTGTTGGGCTGGATTTGGACTCACTATCAGACTAGGCTTTGTGAGGGGAAAAGCAGACAAATTACAAGTAATTTAGCTAAATCCTGGTGCGAGTTTTGAATTTGCTAATGCACAAACGCATATTATGAAAGCTGTGATTTAGTCCAGATGGTTTCCGTGAGTGAAAATAAATATTGTTGGAGCCTAGTCTGAGATCAGTCGGTGTGTTTGGAGGGAGCAGATGGTTACACGCGTTTCCTGGAAGGTTTGGCCATTTGGAGTAAAGCATCAGGACAGGGGACTTGCATGTGAATCCACTCTCCAACCTTCTTTATCTTTCTTGATCTCCTCATGTATTGTTAAAAAAACAGGCATTTTTCTTTATCTAGCTTCAACAAATATCTGACTTTAGACCTGAACTAAAGCAAAAAAATCAAACATCAATTTCCAAAGATCTGCCAGACATCCTGATTTTTTTTTTTTTTACGTAAGGATATAGGCAGCAGCATAGACAGAAAATCAATATTCCATTTTATGAATTCCACCAATATATATCAAAACAAATGGAAACCTTTGGGGGCCTGAGCATATGGAATGATTCCGGAGAAGGGGAGTCTTTTTCTCTGTGACTGGTCTAAAATGAAGGAGAAGCATCATGTAAATAGAATAACATAAATTACTGTTTCAGATTAACAGACGGGGTGACAGGTGAAATATATATATATATGTGTCGCATATAAAGCAACTCAGGAGGAGAAGAACAAATGCCTGCATGAACAAGTAGCAAGGGTCCCTCTGAAGCTGATGTTTTCGTGGGTTAACATGGGAGGAATGCATGCTGGGGGAAAAAAAAGGCCAAGCAATCCAAAAGCACGCCAAGTTTGGATCAGACATGGCAGATGTTTAGTTTAGAGCACAGGTGACATGTCAGTGAGATAAAACACAGCTGGAGGAACAGATTACAAAGACTTAACGGACAAGACAAACATTGCATTGCAACGGGTTGCACTGCCTGTGGCCACATGACAATACGGGCAAGAGAAAGTGAAGGATCATGGGAGCAGATAACCTGAAACGCACCATAGAGCAACCACAAACGGAGGAGGTTCATGCCCGTATACTTGCCCTTCTTTTCAACGTTTCCATTGAGCTGTAAACTTTTTTTAGTATCAAGATTCTAAACTCGTTGTGTGAATCTTTTCTTTATGTGAATACAGAATTACATTTCCTAGTATATACGTCCCCTACAGGGGCTACGTGTCCTAATACTGACATGTTATTATAGACGCTACACAGTGCAGACTACAACGTGACAAGATGTGTACACTATCGAGGCATGAATCCATTAAGATGGCGGTCGAGTATTCTTACCATTTCTCTGGCATTTCTACAAAAAGCCATATCTGGGTCTAGTTTCTCCAGCACAAAGTGGTTCCTCTCCTTCAGTTCCTTCCTCAAAGCAGTGCCCTTGACGAGGTATACGTGTGCCATGAAAGGAATGTTCCACATACCCCTAGAAACGACAAGACACGGAGAAACAATGTGCTCATTTTACTGTAAACTTTGCGTTCCTGGAGTGCTGCAGGAGATTGCTTTTTATTGTAATCCTCATGACATCCACGACTACAGGTGTGTGTGGTAGGAGTTGGTGGAAAACATATTGGTGAACTACGATAAGGGCAGCGCATGTCAAATGTGTTAAAAGGTGTCCTGAATATTATAATTACAAGCATTTATCAACAAGCGTGTGTTTGAAATGTTCCCGTCTTTTTGTCCCAGTTTGTTACGGCCTATTCCACTTGCACTATAGTCTATCTCCAGATCCCAACCCTCTCCGCCCACGCACACACCGACCAACTAGTAGGAGCTGCTATAGACGAGGACCTGATCCCTTACTGTCTCCCACCCCAACAGGCCCGCGGGTGATTAAATCTGTGGTTTCCACTTTGGTGGATTAATGCTTTACTCCTTTGCACCATCTGGTCGCCATTTCAACTTATGTCACACTACGGCTTTGATGCCCAGCACTAAATCTCCGCTCAGGTTGACTGTGGCTTTAATGACATGTTCACATATGTATCCTAGGATGTAGCTCATAATAAAGGCATCGTGTGTGTGTGTTGGTGTTTATGGCTAAACGTGGATGAGAACCACTTCAGCGCAACAGGACAAGATTTATTTTAGTCATGGACACGCTGAGAGATCCAATGTGTGAACCATAAAAATGCAAAGCCATTGCTGTGTGTGTGTGTGTGTGTGTGGCCTTAATGCACTTGTGACTTACACACGTTTCCTCTGCACAATGTCGACATAATCTTCAGAGCGAGCGTAATAACCATCCAGGCTCAAGGCTCCCCAGAAGTTGGACCACAGCTTGCCGTGACGAGTGACAAGGGGGCCAATTATTTTCCTGTAGGGAAGCAGGAGGCAGAGTGGAGAGATGGTAACTCTGTCAGAGCAGATAAAAGTCAGTGGCATCTCACAGAAAGCCAGCCACCTAATGTACTGGGTCTTTGCAGTGATGCTGCATCAAGGAGACCAATCTCTCTGTGGAAAGATATGATCACTACCAAGTCACCAGCAGATCGTTGAAGTGCATAATGTAAACCAGAGTCGCAGATCACGCACAACTGGATTCAAGAGAGGATAACAGCTCGCTGCAGAAGGCTGTTTTTTTACCTAGAATCTGGTCTATTTCTTTGAATTTGCATGGCATACAGTAACACTGGATTTTTCCATTGCTGTTCTTTTAGCAAACCCAAACCACAATGAAAGGGATTGCTTTTTCCATGAAATAAACTGGGCAGACAGAGAAATATTTGAGCCTTAAATCACAGTGCTGCTTGATATGGATGCGCTACGACATTCTAATGCTTTCTTTGAGTTGCGATAGATTGGCATATTCCTCCCGCAACTTCAGTGCCAGCAGAGAATTCTCATGCTGTCTTTAAATATCCTAGAAGGGGTTTTACGCCGTGTGACTCCCAGGTCACAGTGCAGCGCCACAGCCACAATGACATAGTTCACGGGAAGGTTTCTTAACAAGGGGTTTGCCTGTATGTTTTTGGTATAATGTAAAGTGGCATTTCAGGGTAAGTGCCATAGACTCTCTCGCTGTTCCCATGTGGCCGAGCACAAACGGGAAGCCGGACCGGAGCGGCTTATTTTTAAAACTTTTATTCACTCGGCTATAATGTTCCTGCAGTTTTGCCGCAACGATCACAACAACCAAGGGAGGCTTGTCGAATGAGCTCCGGCACGGTTTCTATTCTAGCTACCATGTGATTACCTGTTCTGCTCAATCAGGAGCTTCAGTGTCTGTCTGTTGGTGAGCATCACATCTGTATCCAGGCTGAAGTAGTAGTCGCACGTGGCATCCTTACGGCAGAGATCCCTAATGAAAGAGGAAGCGGTGATTATTCAATCCAGGGCTGATTACAGTTCAATGAAGTAATCACGGTTACATAGTGGAATTCATTAACTCCTAAGTATAAGATGTCATTTTTAATTGCAGAGTCAGGCTGCTCACTGACTTGTCTTTTGGCCTCTGGTGGATAATGTGATTTTAGGAAGATTAGAGACTGCTAATACACCTGAGGCTTCTTCATTATAGGGCTGTCCTTAACAATGCTTTAAGGCGTACCGTGCTTTAGATGGGATCTCTGTGATGCGGTCTCACAGATTGAATTATCACTGTGACAACAGACTAGTTACTCTAACACTGATCAATGAGAGAGGGATCTCATGGAGAATGACTCAGAGGGAAGAATTACACTTACTTGACTGCTATGTCAATCCAATCATGCAAGCACCATCTAGAGGCTTAAAGATCATTTTACATGCTAGTTTTCCTTTTGGCTGTGATCAACTGGGGCCAAAAACACCCATCAACTGGTTTCATCAATTTTGCATTTCAAACCACAGGTCCTGAGAGATGACGGATGTAGAGACATACATGCCCATGTTCCTGGCCTCTCCTTGGCTCAGATTTTCTTCTGGTCCCACAACCTTGAAAGAGCTGAACACATTTCGGTTCTCTTCCCAGAACTTCTGGATGTGCTTCTCGTGGTAAACCTCCTGAGCAGGGAGCCAATATTAATGGGTTAGAAGCCACGTATAAGGGGCCATGCAGGGTAGATATCTAGATCAGCTGCATATACTCACATTGTTGTGGATAAAAATGTTGAGTTTATCTTTGGGATAATCCAGGGTCAGCAGCCGCTGGAAGAATTCAGGAAGAAATGGAGTTGGCTGCTCGATGAATACTCCAACCAACACATTGGGATACTCCTGTGTAAACAGAGAGCAGAGAAATGAGTACTATTTCACACAACAGGTCTTGGAGAAGGCGCACTGTTTAACATAAATCATGGATGATTTGACACTTTACGTTAGACATAAGCAAAGAGTGATGTTGCAACAGATGTTGTCCGTGACGGCATTCTTCAGTGTTTCCTGTGGAACGGGAGGGTTGCCATGGATGCAGCGTTAGAGGGGTTTATTATCTATTTATTATTAGTCCGTTAGTAGCTTCTCTGTGATGCAGACTCTATTGCAGAACAAATACATTGAGGTGGAAGTTTTTCGAGTTACATCCAGGCAGCTGATAGTTACTGAAGTAAGGTAACTGATATTAGATATTTTTTATAAACTATGACAATCTGGTCATGATTCACGTCTCTTGTCCGCGGCATCTCTCACCATCTCTCTTCTTCTCCTCTTTGTACTCATAGAACGTAAGTTACATCCAGTAACTATTAGTATGTTTCTTTGCCTTTTTGTTTCTTTGTGGTTGCCACGTGTGTCTCTCGTGTGATGTGAGGACAGTACAAAATGAAGGCTCAGACAGTTGGGGCAAAGAAGATATATAAAGAGAAATAGAGCACGACACTCAGAGGAGAGGAGGAAACATTTTCCCAGGACAGCTCCAGCCCACACAAGCCCGTCTGGTCTCCTCGTCCTTTTGACCAGTTCACAGCGAAGGTCTGGGCCAGGGATGAAAAGGGATCTGAGCCCAACCGTCTAATTTGCGTGTTCCGCAATGACTGTTTCTCAGGCACAAAAAAAGGGGGGGAACCCGAGCATCTTGCCAATGTGAACCTAAGATGTTATGGACATAGCACGGACAGGCAGCGAAAGGAAAGGAGTGGCAAAAAGGGCGGGGGACGGAACGACTAAAGTGTGTGTTAAAGCAGACAGCAGCAACACATGGTCTTTAGAGACAAAATAGGTAGTGACGAGATCTGGCTTGCTCAGTATAGTGTAGAAGTAGCACGCTTTGCAAGGCCACGAAGAACCAAGCTAGACAGCCAGTGTTCTGGGTTTCGCCCACAAGAAAGGCCTGGACGCAGAGTGGCACGGCAGAATGAGATTCTCCGCTAACTTGCCTATTATCGAGAGGCAGCAATTTCCTTCGTTCATTACGGAAGGTCACTGAGAGCAACTTTCACAGAGATACCTATCATGTAGCTGGGTTTGTATTGAATCGGCTCCAGTGAAACTGTTTAAGCACATTTATTTAAGGAGCCGACAGAGACGGAGTAAACGTTGAGGGGTTCGTGACTCCCATTTTGTGATTTACATTGTGCTGTTCGTGTAGAGCCAAGACTTTAATACAAATTTGATTGCGGAGACCAATTTTGTTGCGCTTTTGGGCAGATTTATGCCAAACTAAATTGCAGAAACAAAGTAGATAAAAACAGCGATAATAGAATAGACTAACTGGGAACTCTTCTATGCCTCACTGGCTCGCAATGAGAGAAGTACGTTTTCATAACAGACACAGCCTCACAGACGAATCTTTTTGCCATTCCTGCTGTCTATACGTCGCCAGCCTTGGCTGCACTCTGCCACAAATTTTTCGCATAACCACTATAACTCTATTGCGGGTACAACCCACACTGAGAAGCTCATTAAAAGGCAGGCTGGTCAACAGTGACTCCCCTTTAAATGAGCCCTTGTGGAAACCACAGAAGCCTTATCCTGCACCACAGCAGTGCACTGCTTCCTCTTCCCCGAGTAGTTTCCCTGGCACTTATGCTCTTTTAAAAGGGTCCAAAAGGACCAACGGGTACACATCCTATTATTGTTGGAAAGGAAGTGTGTGCAGCACAAACAGTCTTGCATATCTGGTGAATTATCACAAGCTGGGCTCCACTCCTACTGTCTAGACAGTCACTGATAGATAGATGGTTCATGCTGGAAAACCAGGCAATGTTTCTTTCTTTTCCTGTGTCCACAAGGAGTTGGCTCAATACAAACCTTCCATAGCAGCAATTTGAGAAATGTACAAAAGAGAACAGGAAATACTAAGAAAATAACTTACTTTTAACTGGGACAGGTCCACAACGTCGTCATCACAGTGGCTACAGCCGTGCTCATAGTTCCATGTATCGGGGACATAGTTTGCCAAATAGTTCAAGTACATCTGTAAAGGAAAGATTTCAGCAGGTGAATGCCAGGTTACAGAAGATTAATATCAGCATAAGCAAAAACTCCAAATATTTCTGTGATTCAGAGCAGGGCTCCCTTTGATCTTCATCATGATGTGTTTGGAATACCTTGGAATGTTACTGCGGGTATTCAATCCACTTCTTTTATTGAGGAGCTAGGTGAGCTGGCAGAATAACTTGTCAGACTTAAGACGACAGGCTATAAATATCTCTCTTTGTGGAATTGAGACTTCATGATCTGGTGTAATTATCCCTTCTCAGTATCTCTTATCGCAGACACTATCGCTGTGATCACGTATTCGTAACCAGACTGGTCATAGCGTGAAAACTGTGAAAAAGTACAACTAATGGTCAGGAATCTAGCGAAGAAGCTCTAATGGTAGGAACCCCTGCTCTAACGGAGGTTCTGTGATCTACTAATTCTCTGGGAAGAATGACTCAATGGTTTGGTTCATTACCAACGAAGGCCAGAGACGGGCGGTGACGGTGCAGTGAGGAAAAAACTCTCCCGGAATGATGATGGTATCTTACAGACATCCGGCTTTTCTACTCGCTGAGTCCATCACTCTAATTTACAGAGAGCCATTGCGAAAATAAAGTGGGGGACATATTGACAGAATTATTGTGGCCTAGCTTTGGCCAGACCTCTATCCTCCATAGACATAATGAGCTGGATTTCCTGGCCAGGATTACTGGCAAGTATCACACAACAGTTTGTATATTTTCTTCAATGTGTGGGAATGCATGCAGTGCAATGAAATCTTTGGTGATTCATGCTCATTGGATGAAAATCTAAAAGAAATGGAAAAGAAGAGTTGAATAACTCGACGCAAAGCTATTGTCCATGAGGCTGATCAACTTAAACGTGTCTGTGCTGTGCCATAGTACGCTCTGTTAGGTGTGTCTGACTACATCGCTTCTTACTCACTTTGGTGTTTGCGTTGCCGTGGATGACCACTGGCAGCGAGTCGTACACTGTGTTTCTAACTCGTACGCGGTCTGTTCCAAACTTGAGAAGCACTTCATCTGCCAAAAAAGAGGAACAAGAGACATCTCAGGCCAGGTTATGAAAATCGACTTGCCACATGGGCCGGAGCTCAGGAGGTTTTCAACTCGCTGGGGTAAATCTCCAAGTTTACAACTTCTCTGAAATCATCTAATCGTTCACAGCACGTGAGCAAAACAACATGGTTTCATTTATTTTTACTTACAAGAGCCAGCAGAAAACTGTGGTTTAAAATAATTGAGTTTTGGCATATAATATATAGATTGGTTTCTGTGATTTCTCACCAACGGCCCCATTCAGGTTCTGGAAAATCTGGCACTTGTGGTCCAGAGTCATATTGAGAGTTTGCTGAAATATAAAAGAATATCTTAGTCATCCAAGAGCCGTTTTATAGGAATATATACTTTAATACTAAGTATTGACACAAGGTACTTACTCGCTGTAAAGGATCCAAGTATATTTTGGTATAGAAGAGCTGGTCGTCGTCGTTGTCGTGGAGGTTCCACTGTGAAACAACTCTGTTTATGTATGGGGCATAGCCGATAATACCTGCAAGTAATAAACAGTATGTAACACATCCAGCGGTAAAGTATAGGGTCGAGAGTCGTTTACAAGGTCCGGACAGACTGTTGGGTGACAATTACAGTATACTGCCAGAGCGATTAACCCAAAGCACACAAGAAATGGGCCGGCAATCTCTCTTCACACGGTCTGTAGATAGAACGGAGTGCGATAATGGGATGTAAGAAAGCTGCAATCTGTACGTTATATTTGTCTCCCGACGGTGTGTGCCGGTACAATATCTCACACCCTCTCTAAATGTACAGTCTCATGGCTATCTCTCCTCGAGTTTTCCCATCTTCTCTTTTCCCTTCTCTTGCTCAAGGACACTGACCACAGTGACAGATTGCAGGGTTTGGGTATGTCGCTGGTGTGCCGAGTTTTGCATTCCATCATTAAAAAAAAAGAGGGAAAGAAAAAGCAAAGCCGTAGATCTCGTAAACAAGTCGTTGGATAGACATGACATAATCTAAATGGCAGTAGCAATAAAAAAGTTGAAGGACATTCTGAGACTTTATGATAATCATATTGCCGGTGGCGTATCCTCAAATCAGTGGCTTTAAAATCCTGGAGAGAGTGCTGGGAAGTGCATGCCTTTTTGACCCAATGCAAAGAATTCTCTCTTTTATAGCTCTGCTGTGTGTCTATTTTGACAGAAACTGTTTAATTTATAGCTCTTGCTTCATGCTCGCCCTAATGGCTGCCACGCCCCTTGTTACAACCACCATCCGTTTGCTTTGTGATCAGATTTAATATACCTAATCAAACTGTATCTTGATTCCGTCCCTGAATTACTCCACTCTCGTTGACAAAGCAGTGTGTGTGTCCAGATGCCATACAATTTTCCCCCAATGGTCACATGGGCGGTGGCCTTAGGAACACAAACAGAGCCTGCAATTTTATACAAACTGTGGCACATTCTGGGGGCCAAGACAAATCCACATGTCATGTCAATGACAGTGAGTGCTAAAAATGGCCTGTGATCGGTCTGAGACTGCTGGGCTCCAATACGTGGGAGGTCAGACCGGACTGATGACCGCAGGGAAAGCAGTAATTCAGTGTCCTGATCGACTGGCAGGTTGCAACTGGCCATGTCCTGTTGTTCCTTTTGTAAAACACACATATTCAGTACTTTTGTCCCTCATTGAGCATCTTTCATGTAGTTCATGTCACAACCATATTATGCCTCGAAACATCTTCATATGAAGTTCAGAATAGTGACCACTAAAGAAATCTATAGTAAAAAAAATGGTTGAAAAGGAAGTTTGAAGTTAGCCTAATATACTGTACACACGAGTGTTCTTCTGCCACCTTGGACAGGAAATACTTCAAGTAAACAGTTTACAGGAAAAATATACTTCCATTTTACAGGAGATAATAATACAAGTCTTGTGTTTTTTATATTTTACTCTTTAGAGCAAAAACACTGAGCCTGCTGCACAGCTGCTCAGCCCCCTGAATTCCAGCGAGGCCTGCAGCTCTTCAAAGTTTGACAGCTGAAGGTGGCATGTATAAAGCCATGCCCACCCATAGGAGTTCTGCGATAACCTCCAGGTTACTCAAACACTAGTCTACCCCAACATACTATCGCTATGCACATAACAGAAATTAAATGGTTATCAACTTTTAGATTGTGGAATCTAAATATTATGTTCATATAAGGGATACACCTAGACAAGGATGACAATTTAACATCTACTTTTCGTCACCAGATGGTTGCGTAATTGAGGGTGGCGTTTGCATTATCCAAACCAGAAAGGTGCACTCAGTAGAGTGCAGTTCTCTGCCATGTGGGTCTGCAACAACTATTGCTGTATTGTGCGGTTGGATGAATGCAACTAGTGCTGTAACAGGCTTTATTCAAATTAAAAAACAAGCAGTGCTGCTATGTTACATTCGCAATGGGCTCGAAGTCGCTGTCCGCCCGCTTAGCAGCGGTACAGCAGTGTGACTGGTAGATCAGTTAGCGGATAGCCAAACACGGCATCCAAGATTGATGAGTAAGCAGAGCTGCACACTCACACAGTCACACACACACGACCAACACATAACCTCCATCCAGGCTTACACCTGGCGGGCATAACAATGTGTTCAGCCAGTATCTTGTCAGCCACCATGACGGACGGGATTCAACAGGTCAAAACATGTTTTGATCATATTTAGAATCTGTTAGACCCACCTCCAGAGTTGAGGTAGCGCTTGCCACTGCGGATTGAGGGGTACTTGTCAGCTAGTTTCTTATCCGGCCATACCAGTCCCTCTGCCGCGAAAAACACTTTGTGATTGGCTTGCTGGAACTTCCTGAGAATCTCTTCTGGTCCCCCAGAAAAGATAAGATCATAGCTGTAAGGGAGGAGTGAAGATAGAATACAACAGATCATTATCACGTCTTTCCTCTTCAGGGGCAGTCTGACAGCTTTCTTTAAGTCTGTTTTTTATCTTGCTTCTGACTCACAACCTCGGTTTCTACTTGCTTGAGATGGATAAACATTTAAATGTAAACAGTGAACATTCTTCACGAGTGAGCATTTGTATAGGCAAGTGGTCCTGGATTGTACCGTGAGGTATTTCCAAGAGAGTCCTGCTTTGACAGACATTAACACGCAGTTCTGTGACAGACAGCGGTGCTGTGCTTAATCCTTTAAAGAGGGCTCGTGGTGACTTGTTTTAAAGCAGGCTGCTATTCAAATACATCTGTTCGGATGTGGAAACCAATCCAAAAAGAAATTCTATGTTAGATGCACACAATTTATAGAAGGTTGCATGGAAAGTGAAAGCCAACCTCGGTCAGACATGTAATGAGAAGTTTAAAGATGGGTGAAGAAGCCCGTGTGCTCTACTGTATCCACATCTGGCCGACACATGTTCATACAACTACCCTCTGTCTCTGGTTAACTCATTAATCATGCTTAAAAAGTGAAAAATAATCAAGACAGATGTTGCTTGGGAGTGAACTGGACTGTCTTACATTCGCTGCCTACATTATCATCTAAGATTGCTTCATGTCTTTGCTTCTACAACAGAACTGTGATATTAGGAGAAACATACCTAATGGATTTAAAAGTGGGAACCATCACCTTTTCATACTGCCTTTACAAATGTGTGGTGTTTGGGTAATAAGCTAACCTCATTAACTCAACTGGTTATATTTCCCATTTTAAAGCCCAAAAGCCCTTTTATACAAATCACACATTTCCGCCAATTCCAAATGTACGTAGTGACTGAAAATGTTTTAGCTGTGAATGACAATTAAAGTCTCCGTTTGAGTTATATGGCTTTTGAATTGCATGCAATCTTTTTTTATTTTATTTTAGGAATTTCAGCCCACGCTCAGAAGCTCAACAACACAGTTAATGAATTTTAATTTCACTTACATTTTCGGGAAAGGAGTTGCATGTAGGACAGAATGTGAGATTGTGACTGAATCAAACATTGTGAAAACCAGCAGGATTATAGATTTTAAAACACATTTGAATAGCTCCCTCTTCTATGAAGTGCAGTTTGTCACTACAATTATTTACTCTAAAGGAAGAAACGATCCAACTACCTGTTTCAAGGGTGTGACAACTTTGCACAGCAATTATAGCTTACATTATTCATGTGACATCGTGCACTAAGTATCATCATCTTCTGCTCCATTTGAGGAAATATGGCGTGCAAAAGCTGTTATTATTCTAAACCACTCGCATTAACTCGGTAAAACTTTCCATCGGCTTTGAAAACTGCAGCTACCTGCATGTGAAAATGACACTCGTATATTTGCCTTTGCTCTGTAATAATGCCTTTAGAAGAATGTGTGTGTGGGAGGGGGGGTTAGAACTGTGCAGAAGCACCTCACTGAGGAGGCGTCACTTTCATAGCAATTATTACAGTCTGTGATTGTCAAAATTAGTTAAATTTTTAATTCATACATCTACTTAGCAATTAAAGGTGTGTTGCCTCTCTTTCTTGTTGAAGAAATGTTCTATATTTTAAATGAAACCTAAATTGGAGCAAACCTCAATCTCTAAAAATAGTAACAAACACACATAAGTGAGCAAAGAAAAAAAAAAGTATTTGGTCTTTTTTCTTTCTTCTACTTGTTAGTTGCAAAAATCTGGAATCAGAATGAGGCACTTCACCTTCCTACAGTATTTAAAGGTAATATGTCGCTTGGGAATATGACTGTAAGGGATGAACAAACACAAAAAAAGCAATAACATATCTTTGTTCATCAACATACCTATCCACGGAAAGGACAACAAGGTCCTCCTGGTGAGCCAGAGCCTCCATGGCCTCCTTCAGGAGTCTGACTTTTTGCCCTCCGCCGATGGAGCGACCCACGTCACCACCTTTCCATGTTTCTCCCATTCCCAAAACCTGAGACAGAACACATGAAGCTTCAGAGCCTCGTTGACACCAAACGTGCCCAGAAGGCAGCCCAGCAGCACTGTAACAATCCCCACTGTCTAAAGTCCTTCACTCTTCTTTTGTTTATCTCTCAAAACCAGTTAGCAATTCTGCCAGTGGGAGAAAACAAAAATCACTTTGAATATGTGAGACATTTCCAAGAACTGTCCTCGAATAGGGCGGAGTAAGATGTGTCCACTAATATCTATGAGAAGAAAATAAAGCTGCTTTGAAAACCAGGGCAATTATGTTACATTTTAACAGCTCATACAGTTCCACACAATGTTCCTGTGATTGAAATAACACAGCACACAGCTGTGTGGGGAGATGAAGATAAAAGTGCAAGCCTTGGAGTTTGAGGCAGCTGCATACCGATGATCCACATGGGCCGAGTTTCCTGCAGAACTGAGGTAGAACCTAAGTTGCGGTCAAATTATCAGCTCCCTGTTCGTCTTTGTTTACTAATGTAGTGTCAGTGGGTTTGCTGTACAAAGATCCACGCCAAGCAACGGCATAACCAAGCAAAGAATAACAGGAAGATGACATCATTAACTCGTATTTATAAAAGTCTCAGTAAGTGTCCCAAAAAAGCTAGCAGAGTAGCTTGAAAGTGTGTGTCTGCAGGAGATTGAATACAAACAAGTGCAGCTGGGTCACACATTGAAGCTGAGGACCACACAATTTCGGGTGGTGCACTTAAACCCAGTGTTTTTATTACCACTGGTTTCAAAATCAGAGGGGATTTCTGGACCCATTTTAAGGAAATATCCCTTTAAGATGGATGTCTTTGCAGCTTGCTGCACTCCATTGTTCCCGTTAACAGGCCTAATCAATCTTGGGATGTGTGTGTTGGAAACATTTGGCTGCTTAGTGAGTGTGTGTGTGTGTGTGTGTGTGTGTGTGTGTGTGTGTGTGTGTGTGGGGCATCCTTAGCCGGGACAAACTGCACATTAGTGGGCATCATTTTAGAAAATGAGGAGAAAACCTTACCTTCACAGTGTACTTGAAATAGTTTGCAGACTGCATAAAGCGCAGGAAGCCATCCGTTTCCTCTGTTGCAACAGTCAGGACGAGCAATTTCTCTGCAAAATAAAGCAATTTCCACAATCTTACATTCAGTCCAAAAGCTGCGACTCATAAAGTCATCACCTGATTTTTGTCTACCAAATTATAGGGATGTGCGGCTCTACTCCTGCAGCTAAAAGACACAGTGAGTTTGTGATTCCCCATTCTGTGAAGCAAGCTCCTTGTAAACCTCAGACCTATGTCAACAAACTGCTTCCTATTTGGTTTAGCAGTCTAAACCTACATCTCAAATTAGGAACATCGGCTCTAGGTTTCATTTGATTCAAAAACAGAAGCATATTCTTAAACTTGGGATTCTTCCGTTGACATTTCTTTCGTCCTGGGTTAAAAGAAGTCCCGCAAACCTCCGGGACATTTCCAGTGGCCATGAGTGCCGACGTCTGAGGTTTGAGGAAGGGTTAGACCGAACACAAACTAGCACCGTAGCCTCACGTGAAGCTAGAGAGAGGCAGACTACACCCACTGTGTTATGTAAAAGCAACTGGGGGTCCACTTGATCACTCGATCCGGTTCATCAAACTCTATTATTGCATGAAGCCGGAGTACTCATTCATTTCCAGCTTCCAAAAGGAAATTAAAACAGTTGTTTGTAACAATGTTGTTGATAGCATTTTAATATGGTTTTAGAGGACCAGTTGAATACAAATCCTGCTTTTCATGTTTCAAGAGCCAATCTGCCTTCTATTTAATATACAGCACTACTTTCCACTCGACCCTGGTGAAATGATTTATTGGACTTTTGCAAGTAGTATTGGAAGTATGAAGGAGAACATAGCAGGGCCATATAAAGGGCCCAAAAATGCACTCTGTATTCCAGCTCTTAAACTGTGCAAGACATGCCTTTCATGTTTAATTTTTGGGATTATTTTAACTAATGAAATCCTCAGGGCATACAAGAGTCTAGGTTCTATTCTAAATCCTTATTTTTCAGCACAATCAAAATCACCCACTTCCCACCCACCCACCCACACTACAGTACATTACAAGCAGTGTCCTTCTATCCATTTCCTGTCAATGGGACTCAGCCGTTCTCTCATCCCAGTCTTGGCTGTGGCCCTGTCGCGCCTCTAATAGCCATACCAGTTCTCCTCTGACACAGAAGTTCTGTACCAGATGTGAAATCGTTTCTGCCTCTAACCCCTAATAGCATCAAGACACAGACAGCACAGACCTGGGTTTCTAAATGAGTACCACACAGAGGGAAGTGGTGCCTCTCCTGAGCCACATAGGTGTGTCCGTGCTCTTGTCTTTGGATGATGTAGCATAAAGCAGGCGTGAGTATGTCCCACATCTGGGAAACACATTTCCATACACTTTTAAGACCATCTCTCCTAGAAGCCATTCATAGTAATTACAGACACAAAAAAACCTTTAAAAAGGTCTCCAGAACTATTCGACCGTCCGGCATGCAGTTCTCACTGAGTATACTGGTGCTGTAGAATGTTCTGCTGGAATTCTTTTGCAATATTTGGAAACCTCCAGGAACATTCTATTAATAACAGCCAGACACATGTCTTTGCAATAAATACAGTGAACTCTTATGTCCCCATAATAGAAACTCATATCCAGTGTATATATATATATATATATATATATATATATATATATATGTGCAATACAAGCCTGTGGTGAGCTGCATGTTGTGATCCCTGCTCTGTTCACTTACAGTAGTATGATTTAAAATGTCTAACAACACTAAACTACTGCAGTGCTTTAGCATGCGCATTGAAAACAAAAACATTGTCTTTCTCGTGATGTCAGGGAAGACGTTTGCCGCGGGGGAGAAACGGGCCGACAGCTTACACCAATTACCGCTCGGTGACTTCGCCCTGACCTTATGGAGCCACGTGTGGCCCAGCCCTTCCTAAACATGCAGGTCACATGGGTGCATCTCAACAAGCAAGAATTCAGCCTGGGGATGCAAACCACCTTTTGATTTAGAAGACATGAGGCAGACTTTTATTGCCTAGATTAAAGTTTTTATTCAAACATGTCGGCAAATCTGTTTCATGGGTTTCCCACACACAAATCTTGGTGGAGAAAATCTATCAGGATTCACGATGGTCTCGTGTGAACTGTGGAAGGAAACCATTTCTGGATGTTGCCATATTGTCTCTAAATACAACACAAAACACCATGAGAGTGGTTATGATCTGCCAATTCTATGGCAAACCAAGATTTATGTCTATATTTCGTATCATGTTAAATTAGGGGTCGTCAATTAGTCCAGATTTTGTTCGGGTTTTCCGTCACCCAATCTGACTTCCACCCATCCTTTATGCCATCACAGCCTTCGACGCAGATGACATTTAATTCTATATTACACAGGATGATCTGCATCCACTTATTACTCAAATGCACATTTACTGTTATATTTATGTTAACAATCTCGGAGTTCACATGATTGAAAGTAGTAAGGTCTCACCGGATTTCTCTTTGCCTCTTATTTAGAAAGTGTCTGGATGTCTGCCCTTTTCATTCAAAATGCAGACTGTATATTGATTTGTTTTGGTAAGGTTTGCTGTCTCGTACTGCTTCATTGTTCAAATGAATCCCCAAGGAGAAAAAAAACAACGATAGCTTGAAACCTACCTTCCAATCTAACTACAACATTGCATCATATGCCAATCCTCCAGTTCTCTGATGTGTTTTTATGTCAATCACATTGATAACAAAGCATGTTGGCAACACTCATAAGGAGAGGTTTGTAGACAGCCAAGGTTTTGGAGGATGAGTGGCTAGTCAGAGTAAACACAGAAACCTGTCAGTACTGCATGAACAGCCCACTGGAGGAACGGAATGTAGCGCAGACAGAGCTGCTGTAGCTTTGCATGGACGCCAAACGGTCTCTTCCTGTACCGCATGGGCCGAGCCGTCAAGTAAACTTTCCCACTAAGACGTGCAAAAGTTCTGACTCACTGGCTGGGGCAACGCTTACGTAAGTATTTTCTGCAGAATGAAAACCACCATCATGGGACTGTTCCCTGGCCTTGAGCTTAAGTATAACAGGATCTTTCCTCTTTAACGAGACAGTCCTGGACAGTGAACACAAACCTGTTCTTTCTATTTCGCTCATCTAAGTAAACAGTGTTCACAAACGGTGTCGGGCAAAGGAAAGTGCAAGTAGTTCAGTTTTAGGCCTTTACATATCAGTGATAAATGTTTTTTACATCAAAACTATTATTACCGACAGCGATGCAATGTTGAAGTGGCTGAATGTTCGTATTCCTGATAATTGTAGGCTACTTATAACATTTACTTTAATATATATATATATATATATATGTTAATGACTGGAAATGAAAAAGATATATTGTGTTAACTCAGCCAAAATCCCTTCTAGGTCTCAATTATGAAGTATTTAACATGTATGCTGTGTATGCTTAAATACTCATGCATATTTAATAAGTGGGTCCCCAGACATGTTTAGTTTGGGACACACTGCTGTAGACTACATTTTTAATATGTCCGTTCTATGCAACCTGATAGGGGGATGCCTCTTATTCGCAGTGTGAAAGCTCACAAATGACGCCCCTTTCTTCGCCGCGTAACATTCCCGCTCTGTGTGAAAGGTTATTTCTACGTTTGCCAACATTCTGTTGGCAGGTATACGAATGGAAACAGACCTGTCACACATGGACAATGTAAGTGAAAGATAAAACCTTAGCAAAGAGAAATGAAGAGGCAAATAAGTTAGTGGCCTACTTTTCAAAACAGTAAAGGGAAGACGAGCATTTTGAAGAAGTCCCAATCCATATTTTGGACAGTGAACAGGCTTAATCAGAGCAGAAGCAGAGCGTATCTCGCTCCACAGAGACCTGCAGAACATTCCTCAGTCATTCTCATCCATCTTGCAAAAGATAAAAGGGCAAGTGTCATGTTCTTACTTTAACTCTGGCACTGCTTAATACTTCAGTTTGGATGGCAACATTTTTCTCTACTTAAACTTTAAGTTGTTGTTCACCTCCATTGGAAAAACAGAATCGCATTCAAGTGGTGCTTGAATTGGAAAATTGGGTCACAGCTGGAACCAGGAGGATGTTTAATCTCACCAACAGTGCAAACGTGTTATTCATCCAACTGTAAAATAACACTCCCGCTCTGGACTTCATCAAATGTTCACTGCGTAGTCAATAAAGGCTTCATGCGATATTAAACCACTTTTTGCCCATCTGAGGACAGCGGGAATAGTTTGTGAGCACCTTTTTATTTTGATATGGGGATTTTGTTAGCAGCTGCTCATCTACTCATCAAGCAGTTATGGAACAACATTTATCACTCATTTGGAGTCCTGTTTCTGGCCACCTAGCAAACGTAAATCCAATATTCTTTTAGCTTTTGGTTTTCTGTCAACTCCTGGGGGGAAATATCTGGCTCTTTAACTGACATTTGGTGCTGAGCAGGCTGTGTATGCTGTGTTTTTAAAGCTCTTTCACTGTGAGAGCAGTGAGAGTGAACCAAAACAGTAAAGTTGTGGGGCGGACAGCTCAACAATGACCTGAAACTTCGTCTACATCTCCGTAAATTCTCTGTAAGAATTAGATATTTACATATGAACGATATATAAAAAACTTTCTTTAACTCAGCCCTTAGCTAAACATAGATGCTACCCAACCTACGGTACATTTAAATATTTTAAAGCTTTAGAATGCGTTAGAATTTGAATGCAACTGCAAGTGGCTTCGGCACAGAAGTAGCACTTGATATCTAATGGCAGAAGACATACCATTGTTGCTATAGGTGAGTATGCATGCGTTTGTAACTAGCTGTAGTCACCATATATGAGGGATGGATACACAAAGGAACTGGATAACGCTCACAGGTTGCTTAGTCGGACATTATCTTAGCTGTCCACAACTAAAATGGAGTTTATTTTCTAGCGACGTTTTAAAGTCAACATAATTGATAAAGCACACCATTTCCATACCACACGGGCTGCGTTTAAGTCCGTCTGCTGAAAATAGATGTGTTTTCAATTACAGACGTCAAACCACAGGCACTTGAGCCTTTAGGATGTGGCATGATGTCACCAGCACTGGGCCAGGAAACAATTTTGCAGTCACGTCATTTCGATACAAGAATAGCTTATTTATTTTACCCGACAAAAACAACTCAAATGCAGAAAAAAGCAACTAATATTATCTGGCTCATGTCATGCGTTACAGTTAGGGCGGTCATTTCCTTTGAAGAGCTTTAAATCCTTCATTGTTGACAGGAACTGGTTTAATTCAACGTGACGCATTTCGAGGTTAACAATTTAGGTTTTAAACCGTGTGCTTGAATTTTTGTGCTGAAATTGCTGTAAATGGAAAGCAGAAGACAATTTTATGATATCGGCCATTCAATTTTGATAATGTTTCCTGTAAAGGATCTATGAGCCGAGCGTTTTTATGTACAGCCACATGCTGCTTCTTTGAAATGGCTCCTGTGTCTCTACCTGGAAAGGCTTTAAAGATGAGCAGCGAGGGCTCTGCTCCCTAAGTGCATGGTTTAGCATCTATACATGTTCTCCTCAGCGAGCAGATTTATTTCAACAGGCTTCAATGGATCCGAAGTGCAAACTGAAATCTCTGGCTCTTAAAAAAGACTAATTTGAAATGATTGGAATACCTGTTACCTGAAGGCAAACTTCCTAGTAAAGAGCTGCTAGTTGGTCCTGCCTAGTTCTTTTTTTCCTGTGACGGTGTCATTTTCATGAAGCCATTTCTCTCCTTTTGAAAACTGTATCACATTGATATGTTACAGTAAATATTCCAGCCTCAGTACCCTCATACTTAAACATAAATAAAGTTCTACAAGTTGGACAATACATGGCAATTTCAACAGTCCGCCCTGTCAGCTGTTTCAGTTCAAGACTCAGCCAACATTGGTCTTTCAAAGATCAACAGCTGTTAATTCACACTGTCACATGGTGGCCACTTAAATGGCTTGTTAAGTAGAACAATGAGATTTTTGTTCCAGTTCTGACAACTTTGCTGAAATGTCACTTGAGTATTGCATCATGGGAACTATCCGCTTGATATCCTGCTCAACTTATATATTCAAAAGTTGGCAGAATACCACAGACGGCTAAGAAACAAAAACAGACAACAGCATCCATTTCTTTGGCTGAAAAGAAGGCAGGGAACCGACCTTGTGGTGCTGAAGCAACAACGTGCTAAGGCATGATTGCAGGTCTGGCCTGCCAACAGGGTTTGTTTCTTTGTTACACTGGAATTACATGCAATAGAGAGCGCTGTGATACAGAGTATAAGGCAAGTACAACTTGAGGTGGAGTTTCCTTTTCTTCTATATAAAATGCTCCCTGCTGACACGTCAGTGTTGTTGTCTGGGAAAGGTCTAATCTAAAGATGCCCATGAAACAGTGGCGCAGAGCAGATCATACTGATTTATGGCCTTTATCTTCGTCTCCCACACACACTCACCCAGAAGTGTGTCCTTGTAAATGTCAGAAAGTTGTTTCCAAGGAACTGTCAACATCTCTCTGTAAGATAGTGTTGATGTAAAACAGATCTCATTTAGATCACCTAAGCTTTTACCTTTTTTCAGATTGTGGCATCTTCAAGTTAAAAAAGTTCAAAGTAGAATCCAATAAATACTCTTACTGTTACTCAGAAGTGCTGTTCGCACAGTCTGTCAGAAATAAGTGAAAGGCTCCTTTCAGGTGGCTGGACAGTGGGGGGGGGGGGTGGTTCTACTCCGCCCAATTTTTGTAACTTTCCAAAACCGACAATCCGACAGCCACGTCAGCTGTTCACAGCAACTGGCAAGGTGCGCATAGGTGAGAAATGGGCAGAGGCCTGCATTCCTTATTCCACCGTCCCTTTTTGTTGCTGAATCACACCGTTTCAGCCTGTGCTCCACCCGTTGGCGGGTCGTTGTGGTCTCAGAGAGGAGTTGGCGGAGAGGTATCAGAATGTGAAGTCTGAACCAACAGAGAAACACTCTCCCCACGTCTGCACAGGTGGCATTCAATACAAATAACTCTATACAGCCGGTGTGTGCAATATTCTGTTTCGCCTTTTTATTGGTTCCTTGCTATCCACGACCTCTGCTTTGTAGTACCCTGTCACTATGATGACCAGCGTCTTGACCCACCTAAAAGGTACAATGTTTGATACAATAGGTGTAATAAAGATGTTACGACCCACACAGACCCCATGTGTTATCACTTTGTCTGAGTCGAGAACAAAAGGCTTCCATTTGGGTTTGAAAAATAAGAAAAACAAAAGAATATCTAAAGCTTTGGAATACAAGGCATTGTAATGCAATGTGTTTATGGTGTTGTGATTTTAAAATTCAACAGCAAACTGTTTATGGAGTTACGTTGATGGAGTGGCTTGTTTAGTGCTTTGCTACGTATTTAGTAGTTAGAGAATGATTTCACATAAAGAAATTATAAACTAGTCGAGATCACGTATTGCTGTTCTACACACAGAAAGAGTTATTTGCAGAAACATCTGTGCATTTATGTTCCTTTGGTAATGAAACACAGCTAAACTAAATATTGACTATACCACTCTTTTTCCTACACAAATCAAATCTATCCAAACCTGAAATGCCTCTATTGTTCTAAAAAGAAGTCTTCTTTCTTATCAACTATTGTAGCAAGGGCAGTTCATTATATACTTTAAAGGTTTCTCTGTAAATCTGACACCTGGTTAAATCTTGGTTAATGAAACCCAATGCAATTAAAATACTTTTATATAATAACCTCTTAGCGTCATTAAATGAAATCTCCACTGCACTCAGTTTGCTTGGCCTTATAAAAGTATGAAAGCCTTCATTTACAGCTGCAAATTTCCCTCGCATTCAATTCCTGATATTTTTAGTAGCTTCATGGCTTTTACCTCCTGATACAACCCCCAGGTGTACTAACAGGACTTTCACAGGCAAACATGTTAACCCCGGTGAAGTTAATGTGGCTATATGTGGGGAGACACCCAGTTAGTCCAGACCAGAGGACAAAACCGACTCGTGGAGGCTGAAGGCAGCTGTTGTTTCCTAATACTGGACTGCCTCCCCCACAACAAAATACGTCATTAAAAGAAAAAGTACCAGATTTTGAGAATTAACTTACACCACGAGCCCACTACACGTCTGACACCAACACTGGCATTAAAGAAACGTATGTACCCACTTATGATGTTGTTTGCAGGTCTTTACTAGAAGCCCTGGGACTGTGAAAAGAGCTGCGTTTAACTGAAATGATCTGAGGGTAATTTAGAGAAATTGAGCAAAGAGGGACATGCCAACAAGTCAATAAAACTGCACACACACACACACACACACACACACAACAGGCTGCTTTAGACCTACACATGCAGCCTATACTGCATGTAGGCTGCCTCAACATCTGAGCACGTGAGCAGGTTCTACTTGGCTCTGCTCCATCAGCCTTCAATTACATCAGCTTTACAAGCTCTCCTCTGTTTCTCAAGCACCTAATAGCTTGTTTGCTGTTAAAATCCAATACTACTGCATTCTGATTTTTATGGCAAATCGTGCCTTCTGTTCTGGCTTTCATCCAGAGCGAGTGTCAACAAGTGGACGTTTTCCAGCCTGTCATGTGCACATAAAAGGCGCTGCCAAACATCAAATGCAAACCCGGATTGTGAGAAACAGCAGACGGCTCTTTTATGTTGTATTATCATGTCATTTTAACGCTCATGTTACATGTTACGCTTGACAACCTGCACCTCTTGTACAGTTAATTAACATCATGCGGTAGAATACTTTTTTTTATTATTATTATTATTCAGTAGTCTCACGATGTGTTGAATAAACTCTGATGAAGCTCCGTGCGGAGTTAGCGGTGGATATGCGGAGTTTGAGTTCGGCGCAAACAATAGGAGGGAGAGAAAAAGTTTCTTACCTTTGGGAATAGGCGCAAGAGGTTGAGGTGTGTCAGTAGAGGAGACGCTACTTGTAAACTTCACGCAGCATGAAAACACAAAACAAAACACGAGGTACTCCATTGCTGGTGTTGTGCGTGTTCCCCCCGACAAAAAGTGAGAGTGACCGCCGGACTATCAGCCCTTCTCCCGGCAGTGGTCAGGATCGTAATGCAGCCGACGCTCTCGCGATAATAACAATTAAAAAAAAAGAAAGTCCTTCAGGGGATGTGAAGTTTTCTGGTCGAGCAGCTCTGGAGATGGGTCGTGCTCCAGGGAAGAGTAGTATAAGTACTGTAAATCAGGGGAATTAGAGAGCAGCAGGCGTGGTTTCTTAATTGCAACGGCAGCCTGTTCCCGGTGAAGCTCCAGCCCATGAAGAGAGGCGAGATAACGGAGTTCAGCCCTGACGCTGGGACGTCCTGCGCGAAAGTGTCACTAAGCACAGCTGTATTTGACCCCCCTCTCCCCTTAACTGTTACTCATTCTATCCCTCCCCCATGGTCCCCTCCCCCTGAGCACCCTGTCTGACCAACACTACTCCCCTTCTACACCATGCTCAGACACGCATAAGAGACTTTCCATTCAGCCCCATCAGTTATGGAAGAAGTATTTGGACAATTTACATCAGATAAAGTAGAAATACCACAGTTAGTTTCAGAAAATATAAAAAAATCTGAAGTAGCTATTACGGGTATGTTATGTCAAACTGTATCTGTCTTTCATGCAGGTTAGTGCAGATCAAAGTGGTATCTAACGGTGGTAAATATAAACTAGATAAATAAAATAGAATACAATTCTAGCCGAGAGTGCTGCAGGGATGACGGCTGCTGGCGTTTAGTCGTCTCATTTAGCCACGTGTTAGCAACTGCCTTATTCAAGACACGTAAAAGCTTCAAATTTCACGAGTGTGGTATTCACTGACTTATTGTACGTCAGAGAACAACACGTTAAAATCTCTTAAACTTGCGTTAACCCCAGACCTTATTTCTGGCATCAAACCAAAAACACGTTTTTCAGATGTTAGTCCTGCTCACATACACAGGAGGGAGAAACGAAGAGGAAAACAGGAACCAAACATTAGACTTCAACATAAAAAGCTTCCATCAACAGTTGTATCTGCGTCTGTCAGGGTGTCAGCTGACCCTCACACCAATGCTTTCTCTCATTCCTTTTTAGGAGTAACAGACATCCCCCCCGGTGCAAACCATTCCTGTCTGGCAAACACTTTGCACTGTTGCGCTCACTGCCCAGATTGTTTTACTTAATGACATCACCAGGGTACATGGTTTTTGAATGCAGAGGGAGTAGAAGGCAACGTTTTTTATGAGATACATTATTTCTTTCCAGAGAGGCCCCGATAAACCCAGAGTATGTGGAGCCGTGCCAGAAAACACAACATAGACTACTTGACTTGGACTTTAACCGTTCTTTTTTTTTTAAAGCAATTCAGCATGCAATTGGCATTTACTGTAAGTGAGCGCTTTATGGAAGTGAGTGAGTCATGATAAAAGTACCTTCTTGAATCTGCTGTCTAACTTTAAACAAAGAAAGGCAATCTTACCTATGGTGAAGCACAGAAAAAACACAGATTTATAAAGGTATCAAACCTACTATTTGCAATCAAAACAAGCCTTAAAGAAAGTGTGTAACATCGAAGTGTCAAATATCTAGCTGGGATTCTGTCGCTGTGTTTTGGTGCAGCTGGAAAATGTAAGTGTTTGCGGTACAGAACGTCATGCTGCATCTTGGCAGCGTACCGAAAGGGAAGAAGCTATGTCTTGCTTCATTTCACTGGCTCGAGTCTGAACACCCACCGTATATATGGAAATGTCCTCTGGAGTTCATTACCCTCTGATAAATGTCCAGAGGTTATATGAGCGGTTTGATACCCCATCAGAGGCCTGAACCTGGAGATGTGAAATACTGTATCCTACAAAAAAAACACAAGGGCATTGTAGTTTTTTACCTTTTTATGAACTTATGATTTGCAAAATCACGAGTGTGACACTCATTAAGAGCTCATGGTGGCAGCGGTGACACTGCTGACACGTTTTAATGTGAGATGCATGTGGTGTGGGTGAGAAAATTACACTTAATTACACAAAAATAGGCAGCTACAGAATACAGAGACCGGGAGACTGCTGTGGTGGGTGAGGACGGGGGAGAAAGCCAGGAACTCATCAGGACACCTGCACATAATTATCCCCACACCATATCAGCCTGGGTATCAGTAGACGGCAGCAGCCTTTGGACTACAGCACGCATGAACTTCCAGCTAAATACAGCTGTTTATCAAACCTTAAAAGGACTGTTTGGAACCCTCCGACAGCACAGGTGGTGTGCTCTGGAGTCTGCTTTTTAATTCTGGCTTATTTCAGTGCCAAATAAAACACACAGGCCTCCAGCCCTCTGCTTGTCCTCGCATTAGAAATAAAGACTAAACAGTGTTTCAGCTCTATGACAACAGCAGACCGTCCTCTATTTCCAGCACTGCTGTGGAGACGGTGGGTTTGCAGGCGCCATTTACATTTAATCAAGCCCAACGGAGAAACGCATGATTCATCGGGGAGGCACACTATGAAGGAGATGCCCACTATTGACCTAGAAGTGCATATGATGAAGAACTCATGAGAAAAGGAACAGATGGGAATATGAAGCTGCAATTATTCCTCCATTCATTCACTTTTTCTTCCTTTGGACTACCATCAATAATGGCGAGCATATAATCTAAAGGACATGTTGACCCTTACAACCGTCAGTGGTTTGGACACACCTTAGACTTTTCTATTTTTGACCCTCTTTTAGTGGTACAACCGGATGGTTTTGCAATTGCACTGGTGAGTCACTTATCCTCGACACTTGGTCCTCTAAACCTTGCTCAGGAAGCCACAATTGCTCAAGAATGGGTTTTTATTTTTATCCCAAATGCTTTGATCACTCATCAGAAAGTTTAAATACGACTCAATGGAAGGGGGCAGCACTCCTTTCCCTCACCCGCTCATCTTCCTGGTGATTTATCTTTACATCTTCCCCGGCTCAGTTCTGTCTACGCTGGTCCCACTTATGAGGCCACGGGGCATCCATTGGCTCAGGGTGTGGTCTAGAGGTAGCTAGGAAGGGGTTTCATCAACACTGCATTTAATCTGAGACCAAGAAGTTTAACAAGCACAGCAAGTAGATTTTACTGTCAGCCTAGAGTCTGGCCACAGAAGGGGAAAGAGGTTAGACATGGATTTAATCACTTTGATCATGGGAGGTCTGCCTTCTATTGTCTCAGACCACAAGTTTACTGTGAAGAATTAAGCAGCAAATTATATTACAATGAATATTTGTTTGCAATTTTCAAACCTGTGTGATTTTCGGTCCTATAAATGTGCACTGCATAGACGAGTGCTTGGGAGTAGCGTTTCCTTGAAAATTACCCATAATAAGCTCCTTTGCTGGCCTTTCATTTGAATGTCATCATTAGGCTGCCGTGTTAAAATCACAAGGCTTTAAAAAAAACCACAGCAGAAGAAGGTCAAGGAGAAGAGGATTCAACCTAGCATTATGCTGTCCTTCCAGTGCCACCTTTATTATCCTAAAAATACGTTTGCACATTTCTAATTTACTTTGTCAAATACAGTTTGGAGGAAACGGTTGCCTGGACGGCAGTTTTCAAATGCAGGAAGGGTGACATCTTTATTTTTCCCAGAAGCTCAGGACTTTGACAACGTAGACTCGGGTTCTGTGTCCCACATGTTGTTAGGACTAGCCACTTAATAAGCACCTAAAGGTTAGGTTTTGATTAGATTTGGCTTCATTAAAATACGTTATTCATGCTTTAATTGCCAAGGAGCATGTATTATAGAACAAATCAACTACTTTTATCCAGTCTGTTAATAAAGAACTGTAACGTAAGCAGCAGTATGTTTCCTACAAAGTCACTTCTAGGAGAACGGTGAGGTCTAACATGTCTCCAGTCTTTGTTTTGTTCTCAGGAATGCTCGTGTAAAAGTAACTACCCATCCCCCATTTTATATTAGACGTCTGCTCTCTTTGCGCCTGATTGTGTGTCTATGGTGTTTTCCTTGGCTGCGTTTGCACACATGTTGCCTCAGTCGTTTGTTTCTCACAGTGGGTTGAAAGCATCAGAAATTCCAGATCCTGTGTGCTGTCTGTAGTGAGCAAACTGCAGGTCTGTGTGTGTGTGTGTGTGTGTGTGTGTGTGTGTTGGGCTCCAAAAGTAAGGAGAATACTTTTTTCTTCCGTGTTGGCTAGAAACACGGCTAGAGTTTAAACATACTGTAGTTATCACAAACCTTACAGGACTTGTTTATGGAAAACGGTCCCCATGAATCTCGCCATTTAAATTAATACCCAAAATGTTTGCAGGAATTCAACCCAGAAGTCCAACAGAAGAGCCTCAGCCCACAGCTCCTGAATGTGTGTAAACAGATTAAGCCAAGAGGCCGGCTGCTCCAACTTCCACAAGCACAGAAGCAAAGCACATTGAAGTTGTTTGTTGTTTGTTATCAACCTGACGTCAAACTCACTTGTCTAACCAACCCCTTCTGACATCAAGATACTTACTGTAACACATAAATTAACAATCATTGTTTTTGGGCTGCACAGTTTTAATATGTGTTTCATTATAAGTCTTTTTAAATCGATTGTGACAAAAAGAAAACGTGTTTTTCTCAGTAAGCCAACAAATCACTGCTGGAATGACATCAGTGACATCACTTGTGTGGTCTGGGTGTTTTAATTCATACCAAACATGTTTTCATCTGCCTGCACAATTCCTGCGAATCCAGAAATGTACATCCTGTTACAGAACACCCCTAGAGAGGGTGAAAGGGATGTGGAGACCACAGTCTATCTACAAACGAGGAAACGCTGAGTAGTTGTATATTAATCTTTGCTGAACACAGCTGCTCCTGTCATGACTTGTAGTCGGGGAAAGTTCCCAGTGCAGAACTGAAGAGCGGGGTCACTAGGAGTTCAAAGGTAAGAGTTTACACCTTATGGTACCAAACAAATTTCCAACTGAGGAAACAAGAGAAAACTCGGCTAAAAGGTACCTTTACGTTACAGTCTATGTAGAAAGCTGTGTCGAAGGCTCAGCCAACATGCACTGTGGCTATGACAGCTGCTGAGAATCTGCAACGCGATGAAAAATAAACCTGGAATTTGGATGTCTTTCCTGTAGGGACTGTGAAGCATGTCCACCAGGAGCACATCTCTGTAGCCGATGCAACTATTCATTTGCCAAGATGGGGTGTGAGGTCCAATGAGGAGAAGGCAGGGGTGGGACATAACAAGTTTAGTGAGTCCCGTCACCATACAGCAATAAAACACGTAGCCTAATTAAAAGACAAAACATATGTAAAAGAAATACAAAATGCACCCGTTTAAAGTTTTGTATTCATCCCCTGTGCCACAAAAAAAAAAAAAAAAAACATATGTTCAACATTTGCTAATACCACCAAACAGAGTACAGCTGAGGTTGATTGGGATGCCATTCGTTTTGCAGGTTATTTGCTCATAAATGAAAGTATTGCACAAATAAGAAATTTGACCTTATAAGATAATTGACAAGAATTGAAGGGATTACCAACGGTGTTTGGTTCATCCTCTGGGAACCATGACCATCTGTACTGAATGTTGTGCCAACCCATCCAGCAGATGTTGAGACTTTTCTCAGGATAGAAACTTTGACCTATTAGTTGCGCTCGAGTGAAATTCATTAGGATTCATCCTCCGGACACTAAGATATCTGTACCAGATGTCACGATAGTCCACCAATAGTTGCTGAGACGTTTACCTCTGGACCAATGTGCTGGACTAAAAATGTTCCCATGATCACACGAAAATGGAAAAAGAACCGATCCCTACCCCAGGTCCTCTCTGACCCTCCTTGTACATTGGCTACACACTTCTTATTGTTTTCCAACCACAGCTTAATTAACTAAAGCACTCAGAGCAGTGCAATGTCTTCCAGAAAGTCATGCCAAGCAATGTGTTATTATCACAAAAGGTGGCTTTGCCATGACTCACAGAAATCCTCTGTCTGAGATAGAGCAGTGTATTCATGTGACCTATGGTCTCAAATCATTTGTAGTCAAAACAGTTATACGAGCAGGTCTAGACCGTACTCTTAACTTTCTTTGTGTTATACGAATGACTACTCACTGTCATCAGACCCATCGACATGTGAATGAATACTTACACAATAATGAATCTTTTCTAATCTTCCGTTAATCAAATGTTGTATTGTACGAGCGGTTCCAAACTGCCCCTATGAAGGATTTAACTCTCTATTCAAGTCGCTCTTTTCATTGATGTGCGATTTAAAAGGCTGTTTCTAAATGTGTTCTCTTTGTAACACCCAAGGTTAACAGCTTCAGGTTAATGGCTTACCTGAAAAGGGAGAAAATGAAATGTGCTCATTTCCTCTCTCATGTTTTCCTTCAAGGACATCTGTACTCTGCAGGCCGGATTTTTTTTTTTTTTTGCAGCAAAAGAAATCACATTTCATGAGAGCCTTTTAAGAATGATACTTAGAAAATGTGAAGGCGGCAATCACAGCAGCTGGTGAATTAATTAACGAGCAAAGCGAAATGGTTTTACATGACCACGGTCTGACCATTGTAACAGCGCCAGTGTCAAACTGTATGGAAAGAACTGGAGGTCCAGAGTAACTAGTACTGATGTAAAAAGTCTCTTTTTAGGGTCAGTGGTTTGTGATGATGAATGGAGGTGGTGATTAAAGAATCAGAACCCAAAAGAACCGCACACATCACAATATATATATATATTTTTTAATTGAAGTGTTTCCATGGACTATTTGCACAATTTCAGCTAAGCTCACAGAGTTTGTTTTCATTCATTGCATGACTTAAAAGTAATTGACAGCGTTAGTGCAAAAGTATGGTTCTTTTAAATACATAGTTGACTTGGAATAGCTCCCTTTGTACCACATTCTGGCTTTCATTTTGGGCTTTTAAACACAATCGAAGGGGCTTCAGAGGACGTAGCACCAGCATCTTCTACTGTTAATACATTCAACCAAATGATCAATCTTAATGGCGAGAATGTATTTCAAATTTACTCAGAGTTGTCTACTGCAAAAAAACATCCACTCATTCTTCAGTACTTAGTCTTAAAATCAAGTTTTGAAAAATAGTCTAACACAATTAAACTGTTGACGCAAGAAAAGTTAAGTCTACACCGGACATATTAGCTCTTCCAAATGGCAGTTTGTTATACTTTGTTTTACAAAAATAAAAGCCTTAAAAGCTTTTAACACTTAATATGTTAGAAAATGACTTAAGATGGGTGTTTTTATTTAGTTTTCCTAAACAACTGAGGACACATGTTATTATCATGATGCTACAAAAGAGCTCTTAATGTTGATGTAGCACATAGATAATGTCTTTGCTACAATACTTTACTTTTACCATCCCTAATCACACTGATGGCCCCCAATCATTAAATCCTTTTTTAATTTTACTCTTGCATTTTTGACACATGTATGACGTCATTATATTTAGATGATTTAACGTACAAAATCTCCTCCAAAAGATGACTTTATCTTTATGTTCATAATATCAGGTGCAGGTGTGTATTTCCTGGAGCAAGCAGTAGCCATCACCATAATAAAGTAGCATGCATTTCAACCTGAGTTTGTCTGAAAATATACAATGTTATCAGAAACTAGTCAATAAAAACCTATGGCATGAGTACGTATTGAGTTTGTCCATTTGGGCTGAGTCAGGTTATTCTTAAATGAAAAGCTAGCTCCCTCATGTGGACAAGACTGGGACACATCGAGCCATAACCCATTCCTTGTTAAATAAATCATATTACTGTAATCCTATGGTAGTTTATGTTTCAGTTAAAACACACTAGTACACTCATAGCACACAGACATGCACACAAAGCAGTGCACACACACACACACACACACACATTAATGCATGGTGACAAATTGTTTAACAGACCAAAATATAAATCAATAAATAAGGGCTTTGAATATCTGACCTAGAAACTGATACAATACACAAGTCGTTAGCTACAAGCATAGTGTTCTATATAAATTAACATCTTGACTATTAATATGACCAAATTAAACGGGTGCTATTTGGCATATAATGAGTCTCTCTCACAAACTGTATAACAGCACTTGCTTGCAATGTTGTTCCCTTTTCATGTACTTGTATATGGATGTTATCCTACTATTCAAGTTTTTAGTTTTTTTAAAGTAGTAACGAAAGGTTCTGGGTCCAGATGGGCTCCGCGACCATAATGTAAACACAAATGTAAACCTCCTCACAAACATCCGTCTTAAAACCACTGCGCTGTGCAGTCACAACCCAGCAACATCTTTTAACAACCAACCCGAGCAACTAAGACTAAAAGAAACCTTCAGCTTCATTGTTCATGCAAAATGTTAGCATTTCGGCAACTTGGTACTTCCTTTAAGTGATCTGTTTTGAAGGTTGTTCTGCGTTAGGGGCTGATCATCGTGGCTTTGTTCTTCCAGCAATGTTTGTATGCTTACATGGATTTCCTGTTTGGCTCCTAGTTAGTACTCTCAAAGAACATGAAATCCTGTGGAGAGAAGCAGCACAAATAAAGTGTTAATGGCAAAGCAAATGCATTTCATTGACACAGTATACCAACATGGGGTTAAAATAGATCCGGAGGGGTTAGAATTCATCCACTGATCACTGGTCGCTGCCAACTTGGCCCGAGAAAGCGACCTGAGATTTTAGCAAATGTGGGTCACGACACTGCAGAAAGTTGCTCTGACAAGCTGTTTTGCATTTGTGGTGATTGTGATGCTTTCATGTCATGTTTTCCCACAAACTATAGGCTACAGTAAGTGGTGCATTAAGTGGTAAGTACACAAAGCTCCGACTAGCATTGAACTGAACGACATCATTCCCCAAGAAAGTTAGGTCATATGAGGCTACTGCATTTGAAACAGCCACGGCAATGGCTACTCTGAAATTTGATTTTCGACCCAGTAAAAAAAAAAAAGCCTATTACTTTACTTACAATGAGAAAACATGCACCGATCATTACAGCCTTCATCCTCACGTCCAGGTCCATGGGGAACTGGATACCAAAGTTGTCTGAATCTGTGAACGCCTCCCGAAGAAGCCCTGTCCACTGCTTACTGATTTTCCCAATCTTACTGACTTCATCCATCGTCAAAACCTGCGGAAAGAGTTTACAGAGAGGACAAAATGCAGACATGTGTTGCATTAGGATGAAGATCAATCCCTGAACCGGTTTTGGTTGTATTGGAGAGAGATCATGGAACAATTCATAATCCCATCCAATTTCAGCTTTTTTTTGCCCTCTGCCACAGTAACTTGAATTTTCTATCCCAGTAATGACTTCAAAGCAGCGAGGGAAGAACCGGGATGGTAATATCATGCTTCACTTCCCCCTCCTGTGGGTCTGGTAAAAAGGTCTGTGTCACTGACCCAAATCCCCTTCACTGCTCAATCTAATAAAACCAGCTGAGCCGTGCAACAATGGCCACACTGTGCCACACAAGAGCATGCCCTGTGCGGCGGCTTCATCCCAGCTACAGCACGCTCTGATGGGAAACATATTTCCTGCTTCGGAGCACGAGGACGATCCCTTTCAAAAATGTCCAGAGGGCCAGAATGTTACCGTGTCCTGTTCTGTTTTCACAAGTTTAATGGATCTCTGTGTTGAGATAAACCCACCTCAAAGTCGACATCTGGCAGGCAGCTCCATCCACAGAAGGGCCCGTGGATCTTCAGCACAGGCTCGGAGTGTTCGTCGGTGACGATGAATTTGGGGGAGAACGGGTGCCACTGTTGTTTAACGTAGCCCACTGTGTTACCAGGGGGGGCCTGCACCTCCAGCTGAGTGAGGGATTGTAACAAGAGTGTGATTTGTGGCCACATCCTCACAAGAAACTGATAATGGTGAACACAAAAACACCTTGAACCACTATAATCTCATGTTAAAATGTGGTCTCACCCACCTCTTGTAGACAACAAGGGAAGCAGCACGACATGCACTTGAGCGGCCTGGTGACGGTGATAACCTCCTGTCCAAAATTGTCAAGGACGTGGATGGTGAAGGAGCGCAAGGGACCGCAGCACTGTCGGCTCAGACAGTCGTTCTCCTCGACGGCGTAGAACACATTCTGACCCAGGCTGTTGCGGACTTCGTATTTGTTGTTGCTTTCGAAGCCGACGAGGGCTGCGTGGACGAACAACACGCATAAAGAGATGTCATCGCTATCCAGACCCAATGTGTACTCAACATAACTAGCAGCATGAATGATGTAATGTCTCAGAAATCGATGCTTGTTTACATACCTTCAACAAGCTCAACTTTCTGTTTGATGAGCAGCTGATCCACCTGGAAAACAACACAACCACATGCACTGGATTCAACTGTATTTATTTCTGTCTGTTAAATGCAGCAGTTCAGTGGGTGTAGTGGGAAGGGAGTGGAGTTTTTGTCACTAGTCTTGTATATATATATATATTTTTGTGTGGACATTATGTACTTCTAAAGCACCACTAATGTGTATAAATACTCCAACAGAGGAATTGCAGTAGGCCCACAGCTTCTGGGTTTCAGATCTTTTTTTTTTTTTTTTTTTTTTAAACAGTGTACCAGTTCACTTGTCATCACAGCTGGTATTGTTGACATTAAAGATGGCCCTGTTCTATTGAAGTGAGCCGTGACAGTGAGTCAGCATGCACAATAGCCGGGCCCTGAAACTGAAGCAGCTTCTTCTATTTAATTATTTACACCTTTTTTTTTTTCCTACCGTGACATGTTAAAATGTCTTTACAGGAAAAAAAGGCCCATCTCGTGCAGCATCACTGCATTATAGTATCCATATATCCAGATTTAGGGTGTGAAATATGTTTTAAAACCAACGACTCTACTGTCACTGGACTATTTGGTGGTATTGTATCCTAAACTTGAGGTGATGATGTTAAATAATTAGGGAATGAAAAGAGTCAGTGATACTTGCTCATTTCCTCTGCCCTTAATGAACAGACTTCATGTGGGTCGTGGACTAAATGGCACCAACATTTAGAAAACAAAGACTTAAACTGCTTCCTTTCCTACCTGGGTCAGGTATTCTAATCCCGGTGGACAGCCTGGTATTTCAGGGTTCGGCACAGCGTACATATTCATGTTGTCAGCCTGGAACGACATCTGTTGATACATGGAATGATTAGTAGAGTGAGACACAGCGCCATCGTGTGCTTCTTTAGGGACCGACACGGTGGGCGACACAGATAATCTCGGTTGTATCTGGAAGTGACGGGGGCTTCTGACGGGAAGACAACAACACGAGAACGCTGACTCCGTTTGGCTTTAAACAAACGGGCCTAAAACCGACACGCGCAGCGCCTCTCGTGTCCAATATGTAGGGCATTAGTGCGGATCTCTAGAACTGATTGTTTTAAGAAGAGTGTGATATTTACAAGCTGTGAATGTTTCGTCCGCTAGTAAAGAGAGAAGAGAGCGCGCGCCCGAGGTTTGGATCTACCTCCCTAAAATATTCAATCGAGACGGCGAGTTGTTAGAAGCGACGAACTACCGACAAAAGACTCCTTACGTCACAGCCTGTGCAGTTTATGTTCCAAAACATACAGCAGATTCATCGCGATCAAGATTACTCACCGAGATTTCACCTGCTACTCCAAATAATAACAGGCCACTCCGGAACCAAGCCCACGGAATAAAGCTATAATCTCATTGGTTGACGTCACCGCACTTCCCTTTTGTCATGCGCCAATGACGAGACGGCAGTGTAGAAGAGCGCTCAACAGAAAGCTAGAACGAAATATAGTAGAACACAGCAGACTATCAGTGTGGGCCGAGTTGTTTTATTACGCAGCCTGCCGTGTAGAAAACATACGCACGGTTTGTTCATTGCTCAAATTAATATTTCCCCTGCAATTTCTGATTGATAAACCCACATTAGAAGCTGAACAGAGGTTTTATTGGCCGTGTTTCAGAACTATTTACAGTATTGATCAATTGACAGATTTGAGTTTTCCCTCCTCTCACACAAGCAAGCATAATACCTCCAATGTATTTTAATATTATCATATGTTGTATTACTACATTCAGTTTTTACCAAATGTATTTCATTGTTTATAATAAACCTTAACATCTACACATGATGTACTATATTTTATTATAGATAATTGTAGTGTAAGTTTGCTCAATGTTGTGACTTAGTTTTTGTATCCTTGAAAATACATATAGTGACTGATTCTTCATTTTTTATTAAAGAATAAGCTGTAATCCAACATCCACCCAAAGATCAGGGGCTGCATTCACGAACATTCTGTGAATACTCTCAGAAAGTTCCTAACTCTGCCTAAAATGTTCTAGCAAGGAGCTTAAGAGTGATTTAGGAAACTTGTCAGAGCAACTCTGAGCAAGGTACTAATACTATTTTATGTAATGAATAACTATCTACTTTAAAAGTGTTTGAAAACACAGGCCTACCTGTGCAGTAACCCATTCACATGCTGGTAGTTGTAATATTTATTTACTTATGTTTATTTACCATGCTGGTAATTTTAGCACTTGATATTAACGGTTTCGTTGATCGATTTCTATATAAATAGCTGCGTTGGTTGGCATGTAAACCTTTAAACCAGCAAACACTTGCATTATTCTAGTTGCCAGATGTCTCAGTGTTGTGATCACTTTCATATCTGGCATTATAGCTGTATTGCGTTTGGTGGGAGATGTGAGCATAGTGAGATTGACCACAAGCATTGTCCCTGCACCATGTAATCTGTGATGTTTAGGAACTCACCCGTGTAGTGAACTCTCAGCTGCAGTGTGAATATCAAGTACTCAATGTGTTTAAATGTGTGCACGTCAGTCTGCTGAAAAACCTATTCTTACATTATTCCGGGGACACATGTCCTTTTATACATGCACATGAATACTATTATGGACAGACAACATAAGCAGACTTCCAACCCTAATCAAATGTTTTAAGAAGATAGTACGTTTTAAGTTTTAATGATCCTGTGGTCATCCCTATAACCCATTTTAACAGTTAGAATATGAGTCTGTGCAGATTATAAGGATACATATGAATCAAACGCTTTATTGCCAAGTACGTTTGCACATACAAGGAATGTAGCTTGGTGATTGGTGCATAACAATAAACAGTGTGAAATTTTAATAATGGAAAAATAATGAAAAATGTACAATAGAATAAACAAACAAGTTAAGAGTACATTAACAAGCAGTGCTTGTGTTGCATCTATTCTGGCAAACTGCATGTTATGAGAGACACTATAGTTTTGTGCAGTGGGAGAATAACTGTTGACTGCGGTAGCCACAACGCTGTGCTCCATGTCACTCAGCTGCACACTCCAGCAATACAGACATGGCGGTAAAACACAGCTGCAGGCTCACCATTGTGATCTGGTGAGTTCAATGCAAACAGTAATGTCTACTCAAAGACAACTGAAAGATGAGCTTTTTTTTCTGATTGTAAAAATCCTTTTCACAGTCTTACACTGCATCACATAAAATCTAAAGTGTGACATTGGTAGTTTCACATTTTTAATAAAAGTTGTTACAATCCTCATTACACACAACTGATGCACACTTGAACTGCATGTGTGTGTGTGTTGTTATAACTTGTATCCACTGGAGAGCAGTGTTGAGCTAACGATTCTCGGCCTCATGGCCATTACCAAGACTAATGCAGGAATTGCCTTTTTCATTGTTAAACGAAATAGGCTGTACACACAGTACACACCAACAAATACACTTACTACCCTGTTACAAATGGCACAACGTTGTTTGGCCGAGTATCCTTATTTGCGAATACAAATTACCTGATTTCCTCAAGCGCTACTGATTTCTCCAAGAAACGCTAATGAGAACAAATGATGACTCGCACACAGATCTGCTGACACTTCAGGCACAGACAACTAAAACACGTTTTAATTGATTTGTGTTGCTGTAATTGCTTACAGTGTCCTCACATAGCCTGGAAAGCACAGCATTTATAATAAGTAGTGTGTTTTCTGCTGTGCAGACACATTATGTATTTTTTTACATTAGCTATACATTTTTTACTTTTTAAGGTCTTTAATTACGCTTCAAACACACTGCATCACACGTAAGATGAAGCTGTACCATTGGTAGCGTCGAGGGCCCTTCTTATCACCCCCAACTGCCCGACCAGAACCCCGAAACTTCATGTTCTTCATCAGTGAGATCAAAACAAAGTACTGCAATGACTTTGAAATGGTGGCGTTCTGTGCTCCCATCTGAACAAACAGACCGGACAGTCAGGGGTCTTTGAAAGCCCGTCAGATTGTCTTCCTGACTCCAAGAGCCCAGTTACTCCCACCAGGGGTGTGTGTGTGTTTGTGTGTGTGTGCGCTCACCAATTGTACAGTCTCTGCTCTCTACATTCCTACCTGTTTTACAATATGTCTGTGTGTTTGTGTTTTTTCTTTAGGGGGAGGGGGGGGCGTTAAGGTGGTGCTCTTTATCCGCACGGGTAATCTTTCGTGCACTCCTAACGAGGTTGTCATATTCGGCGCATAATGAGGAGCCTAAAGATGAATGTGAAAATGCCTCCATTACACCGCTTTCCTCCTCTTGTTCATTAGGTTAGCATAAGGTTACAATACATTACACCGGTCCCGATGTTCCACACACAACATTGCGTGTGTCACTGAGGGGTTTGTGTGTTAGTTTGCCATGGTAATATTTATTTATGTACACACAAGCATGCATAGTACTACTGTACTTGCCCAAATTGAACCCTTATCTGAACCATAACAAAGCACTGATTCTCAGCCTAAATCTGACTTTATTATAGGGGTGTTAGGACGGTAGGGCTTACGAACGTCCCCATCACAAGGGTTTTCTAATACATTATCTCTGGAACTCCCCCCCCCCACACACACAAAATGCAAATCTATTCTGCATGTTTTCATCATCTGTGGATGTCCAAAATTGCTACATTCACCGCTTTTGTTATTCCGTCTCTGTCTCTTCACCTCTGCCCATCCCTCACCTCCCTCCCTCCATTTTTTATTTCTCCCATTTCTGCGCCCCTGACAAGTGCTTTGTTTGCCGTGACTTTCCATGCGGTTATCTGAGCAGAGACAGTATGCCTCGCCCTGGCACAGGACCTCAGTTTCCACGGCAACTTTATAATTGTTTTGGATGTGTTCCAAGCGCCACTGGATACCGCGGCATTATTGATGTCAAAAGAAACATGTATGAAATGAGGAGTTGTGGAGGCGTCCATATGGTTCTGTACACAGCCTCATGCAACGCCATTTAACCGCTTTTTCAATGGGAGTTTTGTGATACCACTGAATGGGTCCCACATGTGTCGCATGATATTTCATAATTTTGATCTTTCTTTTCCACAAAGGGATAATGGCACGCAATACAGCTACTGAGCTGTGCAATATTCCCCCTATTCATGTCATTAAGTCATTGTCACAGTATGCACTGCTGGCTTGAGTATGTCGACCATACTGAATACAATATGTCCATCATGATGCATTTAAAAAACAAAAAAAAAGAATTCTGAATAGTGAAAATGAGAATGGAGTCCATCTCCACACATGACGGCAAATAAAAGTCAGCGGCATCAAAAGCTTCCCCCCGTTAAAGTACGCCTCTGCCAGCCTCATTCACTTCCAATAGTCTTTGTTTTGACAGGAGAGGCAGTATGAGTTATCCCAGCGCTTGTCACCGTAACCATATTGTGGACCCCCCCCCCCCCCACCAACTTCTCATGCACACACACACACACACACATGCACAGACTAGCAACACCTCTGAGCCATGAGCTGTGGCCACATTAACCACTACGCCACAACACTCATTAAAGTAGCATATAGTGTCAACAGCAGTGTGGCCCCCAAGTGGATAAGTCCCCAAATCCTCTGACTTAACTTAATCCACGGACTTGTCTTTGCACCCCCCCCCCCCCCCCTCCCCGCTTAATTTATGACCTGTGAGGAGGAACCCAGGGAGTGAGAAGTGAGTGAGACTGGTGTGAAAGCCCTGAATAGAGCAGGGGCAACAGGCCCTCCAAATAACACAAAAGAGCCACCACAGCTGTTTGGAGGCAACACAAGCCTTCACGAGGCACTGTCTTCTGCACCGACCTCCCAGACTGGCACTCACGCTGACTTTGTAAACTGAGTTGTTGTACGAAATACTGTAACACAATCATCACAAAACCTTCCGAGACATGTGAAGAAAGTTTAAGAAGAAAACTAATATTCCTAGAGTAATTCTGCCTATTTCGCTTGCATGAAATCCCTCATTTTCGTCAGTGATATTTGTTTTTGGCCCTTAGCTGGATGCTAAAAAGAGGACGTTCATACTGTGACATTTTCCTTTTGATTAATTTGATGCTCGCAGCCGAACAAGAAGAGGGAAAGATGCTCTATTCCATAGTGAGAGCCAAGACAAACCGGCACAACAGCCGATCACCTTCACCAAGGGCCGGATCATTTGAGGACCCTGCTGAGTACGCAGGAAAAGTGTCACCAGCCCTTCGTGAGCTCGCTGTCAAGTGCCGGTTACCGACTGTCAGCTGCAGCTAAAAATGATTTCAGAATCCTGGGGTTAAAAGTTCAGCGCACCGTTTTCTTCTCCCAGACTGCTGGAGAGAAAAAAACCCGCTGTCACTGCTGCCGGGCCCGGAGTAATTTATTCTCCCCTGAACAAAACTCTTCGGGCT